TGATGGGGACGGGGCGGGGATGCAGCCTGGGATTCTTCTTGTCCCTCTGATTTTGCTTTGACTTATTAGACTCTCCCTTTGTACAAGACCGCTAGTTCTCACTACTTGCTGTCGAAGCGCCTTGTCCTTGCCTTGCCTTTAGGAATGTTCTCTTTTGTTCCATTTTTCTGGAAAAAATCATGTAATCAAACTTGTTAGAACCGTGCCTGAAATGTGAGCAGCTGACAGGCTGTCGTATGAATGAGACGCATGGTGTCACGTTTCTTTTAGCTGTTTCTAGGTCATTTTTCAGTCGGTGTTTTTGGAGAGATGACGAGTTTTTATAGTCTGTGAATGCAGACACACTTTACCAGTGTGTGTTATGACGAAATGGTGAGTGGTTAGGGGCAGGGAGCCTTGTTACTAAAGAAGCTAAAACTGCAGCTGTCCACCTGAGCCTCACCCTGCAGCGGTGGCGAACTTGTTTTAAAGAGCCTTGTGGATATTTATAACGTCATTTGTGGGCCATACAAAATTATCAACTTAAAAATTAGTCTGCTGTAAGTTAATGGAATTTCAAGTCCCACCTGCTGTTGACTTGGCAGGGTCAGACCACGTGATTTTGCAGGCCTTATATGGGCCACGGAGCAAATGGTTCTTCTCCTCCAGAACTTAGAGAGAGGCAGCAAGGTTTGTCAATGCCTTCAGCGTCCCAGGAAAGCTGCCCAGCTAGTCACTGTCCAGCGAGGACCTGCAGCTCCCAGACAGTGCCCAGCAGACGTCCCTGCAGCAGCTGTCTAGAATAATATGAACTGCAGCGCCTGATGCTTCCTGCTTCTCTGGGCCTTGGAACCCTGGGAACGAGTCCTGAGGACTGCTTGCTGTGCGCAGAATCAGAAGTGGTTGGTAGGATCTGTTTCAACAAGCCCTTGAAGAAAGTCATGATTCAGAAATGGTTGTTGAAATGCTACTGAATAAGCAAGAACCACCCCTCCTGGGGACAGAGCACGGACCAAAATTCTGAGTCCATGCAAAAAGAAGGAAGTAGGAAGCAGTTGTCAAAATAATACCAACACTTACGTAACCGAACCAAGGGGAAGGATCCTACTCTGGGAATCGAACTTGAGCCACTGGGTCCTAAGGAAGCAAATAAAAGTGTTCAATTTTGATAGAATTATAAGCCCAGATTATTTAGAACCTGGTGATTCCTTCAAAGCAAGTTAGCTGTTTGAAAGCCTAAGATAATTATTTAACTCTGCATCATAAAATCATGTTAACCTATAAGCAAAATTTAAGTGACAGAAACATTTAGGGATAAGGAAAACGTATTTTTCCTTTTTAAAATTCTGACTAATTTTTACCATTCAAATCATTCTTAGAAGAAAAATTTTAAATATTTCTCAAATATTTTGGTTACTAACTCATGCAAAAAACATTTTTAAGGATGCCACTGTTTTGTTGACTGTTGAAGAATATAGATAGAATACAACTTAGGTTGAGCAAAATAGTTGATACTTTATAAATTTTTTCTTCTTAGACATGAATTAACATGTGGGTCACTGATTTAATATATGAAATACTCTGACCATTTCTGTTTGCTTAATAATCCAGTTACTGTGTGAGGAAGTATTTAAATTTTATTTTTTAAAGACTTGTTTCCTGAGACGGGCGCTGTGGCAAAGTGGGCTAAGACTCTGCCTGCGAAGCCAGCTTCCTATATTGGCGCCAGTTCTAGTCTCAGCTGCTCCTCTTCTGATCCAGCTCTCTGCTAAGGCCTGGGAAAGCAGGAGAAAACGACCCAAATGCTTGGGCCCCTGCACTCGCATGGGAGACCCAGAGGAAGCTTGTGACTCCTGGCTTTGGATTGGCCCAGCTCTGGCCATTGCGGCCATTTGGAGAGTAAGCCAGTTGATGGAAGAGCTTTTTCTCTGTCTCTCCCTCTCTCCATCTGTAACTATACCTCTCAAATAAATAAATAAAATCTTAAAAAAAAAAAAGCCACACATTTCTTTATTTCAAAGGCAAAGTTAGAGACAGAAAGAAAGAGAAAGGTCTTCCATCTGCTGGTTCACTCCCCAAATAATCTGCAACAGCCAGAGCTGGGCCAGCCCAAAGCCAGGAGCCTGGAACTCTATCCAGGTCACCCATGTGGGTGTCAAGGGCCCAACTGCTTTGGCCATTTTCTGCTGCTTTTCCAGGCTCATTAACAGGGAGCTGGATCAGAAGTAGAGTGGCTGGGACTCAAACCAGTGCCCATATGGAATCCTGGCATCATAGGCTACAGCTTAACCTGCTGTACTACAATACCAGTCCCGCCAAAGTATTCAGATTTTAGTATTGGCTTTAACCATTTAGTTAGACAAATCTAAATGGAGGAATAATTGTGTAATCAGTGTCTTTGGGAGCTGATGATAGCACTTATCAGCCTATAACTTGCTAGCATTTTTTTTTTTATTTGACAGGTAGAGTTATAGATAGAGAGAGAGAAAGGTCTTCCTTCCATTGGTTCACTCCCCAAATGGCCGCTGTGGCTGACACTACACTGATCCAAAGCCAGGAGCCAGGTACTTCTTTCTGGTCTCCCATGTGGTTTCAGGGGCCCAAGCACCTAGGCCATCCTCCACTGCCCTCCCGGGCCTGAGCAGAGAGCTGGACTGGAAGAGGAGCAACCAGGACTAGAACCCGGCGTGCTGGCATTTTTAAAACATCAGAACAACTCACTTGGCCACATGAATGAATTTCATTCACATTCGGAATTATTTCTGGTGCTAATTGGGTATTTGGGGTTAAAAGAAGGTGGTTCAGAAACAGGTAGAGAAATCACTTTCAGTATATCAAATACAAGTGCCAGCAGCTCATTCTCTACAAAACAAAACAATGAGATCAAAAAATAATGCATTCCAAAGCCCCCAAAAAGCCAGTAGCTTGAGAACCATGTAGCCTGTGATATGACCTGCATTGTCTTTGATCCTGAGCAGTGACTGTATTTACTTGAACTTTCTAAATCACTGCCATTGCATTCTGGTATTTAAAAGTATTGCTTTTTTATAGGGAAGCTCAAATGTTGAACACTTTTCTGCTATTAATGATTGCTTTGAGTTTAATCTGCATCTTGTTTTGTATTTGGAAACTGTGTAATATAACAATGATTGTATGTGAGTAGACATTTTTTCTAAAATTAATCAGAGGACAGGGAATTAGTTAACTGAAAAGTTATAAAAATTTTATAAAACAATATTATGGATCATGCTTTGTGACATGAAAGGATTCAGAAGGGGATTTCTGAGTTGAATTATTTATACTTTGAATTAGTCTGTTTCATATTTTCTGTTGTTCCTATATGTTCTGAAAACTGCTTGGACATAAATAGATATATTGAGACTGTCTTATTTTGGCACTTGAAAAATATGACTAAAGAGTGGACATTCATGATCTTGCCTCCTTTCTTTGGCTGTAATGTGATTCATCTGTAGAAACCCCCTGCAGGGCTGAGTCAGACATCCTCCGAGTCAAGTGTACTCAGAGGGCTAGGAGGCCCTACCAACTGGGCAGTTTTTTGTTTCTTGGGATTTTTTGGTTGGTTTTTCTTTTTAAAAACTTGCTGTGAACCTTTTCCTTACAGAAATCACATTGGGTACTTAGAGAGCCTAGTCCAAGTTGACTGTCACCCCAGACTGGGATGGTGATAGATGTAGAACTATCTAGGATGTATTTTTAAAACATACCCACCTCATGTAGCCAACAAGCTCAAGCTGTGCTTCCTTCACAGTGGAGACTTCCTTTAGCTTACTAACTTGTGATTGTGACACAGTAGGTGAGTTGTAGCATGTCTCATCCGTGTGCTTTGGTGCCAGGAGGAGGAATGTAGCATGGTAGGCGCCTAGGATTGGAATCATGGGACTAGAGTTGAGTTTTGGATCTGCCTAGCTATGACATGAGCAAGTTAATAAACCTCTTTACAGCTCAAGTTTGCTCATCTATTAAATACAGATAGCAAAAATCATGTCTCTTTCACAGAATCTTAAGTAACAAATTAGATAAAGTACTCTCTGAAGCTAGCAAATCTTCTACACACTTTGCTTACTACTTTTGGTGATATACCTGTTCTTTGTCCTGCACGTGTATAACATTCACATGAATGCACATCCTACCCCTTTAAGAATGTGCTGTTGAAACAATCAGTTTTTTAATGTGGTTTACCTCAACTAAAAAATAGCAAGCCATTTTATTTTTAAAAATTGAGTTTAAAGGAACCCCAAAATGAAAAGGTAAAACATGTAATACATGTTAACAGCAAAGGTTAGAATCAGCCTCCACTGTGACAGGAGACGTATTTGGTGCTCAGATTTGTCGCTGTTGCCTTCCATTAAGGAGCTCCCACTGATTTAGGAGATATAAATACACGTGGTAACGCAGATGGGAGAAAATGGAAACTGCTGAGTATCCAAATTCACAGCTTGATTGGAAGCAGCGTGATAACTTTCTTTTCTGGTGATCGAGTTGCCACGTCGTGTAAAGTAGAACAGTTCTCACGTGCTCTCACCTGCCTTTTTCCAAATCCGCTCTTGAAAAACTGCCTCCAGCCCACTTCCCCTGTCAAATTATAGAGGAGGAAGGTACCGTCCAACCCTTTGGACTTCCTGGTATCACAGACTCTTTAAACAAGGTACCCTGCTATGGAATATTGGACAAGGTAAGTGCCGGAGAAGTTCAGGTGGCAGGGGTGCCAGTCCCACTTCTGTCCTGAGCATCGTGGCGTTCTCCCAGCACCTGCGCACCCACCTCAAGTCGGTTACACTTGCTCGCACGTGTGATTTGCCTCTCTAGAATATCAACTTATTGACAAGGGCAGGGAAGTCACCTTGTATTTCTTGATCCTTTTTTCCATACCTTTTGTCTAGACCTCAACCAGTATTTGTGGTTCAAATAGAATCTTGTACTTAACACTCTGATTTAGCAAAAACAGTGCTGTAAGATGTGCTTAAGCTCTGACTCTCTTTTCTTTTCTTCTGTCTTTGCAGTTGACCTGCCCCTGTTTTTCCCACGAGACCAGCCAACGCTCACATTTCAGTCCGTCTATCATTTCACCAACAGTGGACAGCTTTACTCCCAAGCCCAAAAAAATTATCCATACAGCCCTAGATGGGATGGAAATGAAATGGCCAAAAGAGCAAAGTAAGTGAATCTATCATGATCTCCTACAGGTAGGAACATTTTTATATTTACTGTAGAGATTGGCAAGCCACTGCTCACTGGCTGAATCCTGCCCCATGCCAGTTTTTGCAGTAAAGTTTTATTGAAGCACAGCAATGCCCACTTCTTATCATCTATAGCTGCTTTCATGCTACAGTGGCCGAGAAAGTGGCTGCAACAAAGACCATTTGGCTGGCAAAGCCAGAAGTGTTTCCTGCTTGGCCCTTTACAGAAGTTTGCCAGTCCCCTTATCTGACCTCACCAGGAAGAAGTGACCTACACCTGGAAGTGTTTCCGTTTTCCTACTATTACTGCTGATCTTTAAAATTGGCCACAACTGCTTTTTAAAAATGGATTATGGGATTTGCCAAAAATCTTCCCCTCTATTTAGATTAAAGAAGAAGTATTAAATAGGAATTAAATTCATGGGTAAATGGTGTCGATGATGAAAGCATAGCCAGCCCCTTTCATTTGTTTTTAATTGGAAAATGTCAGGTGTGGTGAAAACAAATGGGAATTCTTGCTTATTAGGCAATAATTGGATTTGGTGTTATCTTTTCACAGAGAACTTAATCTCTTTAAACTGTGTCTCTCATTGCATCTCTGTAGTGTGAGCCATAGCCAATGCCAGAGTAGGACCTGCATGTTCCTGAACTGAATACATTGCTATACAAATTGCATAGAATTATTAAAATCACCATGGAAGTAGTGATATGATGGAGGTTGAAGTTTGCTGGAGTTTGGAGTTTACAGATACAGCTGTTGCCCATAAACCTCTCAGAGTATAAGGCTCACTGCAGTCATATGGAATAGATAAATAGAGAAATGAACTGAGTGTTTTCCTTAGGTAAGACTTTAGTATCTGGATCATCAGACTCCATGAACCATGGCCTCCTAGATTGAAGCAGCAGGGGATCAAAATCATAGTTTCCAAAAATTAATCATAGAGTGGCATGTGGTTATTACTTTTATCATCTGAACAACCATAAGCTCACACCTGTGATCCCAGCTGAAGGATGATCAGATCCAAAGACTTGCACAAATGAAGACTTGTCTAATAAGTGTCCTCTTCATCTGCCCCTCCATCCATCCAGTGTGTATTAAGCATCTACCATGTCCAGGCATCGTGCTCCATGCTGGGGGTATAATGAGAAACAAACTGGAAATTGTCCACAGCTTCGTGGAATTTGTAACTTAGCAGGGGAGATAAAGCTCTTATCATAGCAAACTTCTGACAGTTTAAAGTCCCAACTAACAAAAGCTGGCCTTCCACACCTAGAATATTCTTGATTAGTAGGATTTCTAGCTCTCCCCTCCATCTCCCCAAGGCCCTTTCCTTCCCTGGGGGCCTCCTGGCATCTCCAGCACTTCTGTAACACAAGACTTCTCTTAGAGCAGACTCGGAACTCTTTAACCAATGCCAGAGGGATGTTCCGTAGAAATCCAGACCCCACCAGACTTAACGTGGACTCCAGAGTTGTCATTTTCTGATTCACTCTGCCCACCTGCCTTATATTTTCCCTTTTTCTCCATGACACCCACGTCTGAAATTCTATTTAAGGAAAAAAAAAAACACAAATATATCTAGTGATTAAGACTTACCTATCTTGAAATACAATTGAAGAAAGGAATCATAAAGTACGTTTTATATTGGAAGTATTGCAGTTGTTTAATTCTCTGGGCTTTCCCTGTGTATACATAAGATCTACCCTTAGAAGATAGGCCATTATTTGTGGTATGTGCTCTGGAGTCTGAACCAGACATGGCTTTGTGGTTTCCATGGTAAAGCTATCTTGGGGTGTGTGTGTGTGTGTGTGTGTGTGTGTTTTAAGTAGACATTTTTGCATTAGGAGTTGAGTCTTTAAGGAGTTGCAGACCACAGCCTGTGATTTCAGTATAGGAAAATCGTAAGTGAAGCCTGTTTATCATAACAGATTGGTTCAGAGTCTCAAGAGACATTTGCTTTATGTTAACACCAGCCTAAAGAAAACATCTGAAGTAACATTAAAAAAATCTGCTTTCAACTGTAGCTAAGATGGATCCATTTAATTATAATAAAAGACAAGGCCGACAGCTCATGCTAGTTTAAGGGCTCCACTCTTAAACTGAACTGAGTAACTGCTCTAGACTGTGTCCGAAGGCCAGGTAATAGGTAAACAGAACCAAAGGACTGTCCTGCAGTGTAGGTTTCAGATCAGTGGAGAAGGTTGAAAAGAAAGGACAGAAAGAGAGGTAGGTCAGTGTAGCATTCCTTCCACGCCCTGTTTCTTTGTCCTATGAAAATACCATACACAGTGCGTAAAAGGCTATAATTCACTTGGGGAGCTCTGCCCATGACATAAACACCCTCATGGTTTATGAACAGCAGTAGAGCCCTTTGAGTGGAATCAGCTGTTTATCCTCTCCTGTAGAGCAAAATTCTAAGCATGTGAACTCAGAAAAGATACTTTTTTGGTACTGACCGGGGCTTTTCTACCCACAGAGCTGCTTGCTCAGGGCTATCCAGCAAATGCTGTCTCACATGTGAAATACCCTTTACTGGAACAGCTCAGCCTTTGGAGTTGCGCATGGCCCCAGTTCCTGTGACAAAATCTAGTCCTATAAGTTCTATGGCCTTGGGCAGGGGGTTTAACATCTCTGCACTTCATTCGGCAGAACGGGATTGGAGGGACTTACTATGAAGGGTCAATCAGTGAGTGACCTATGGACGGACTTGGGGTTCAGCTTCTGCCTTGTCCCTCGGTACTTTGACCACCACTTTCCTCCCACCCTCTGTCTGTCCCCATAAATCTACTTCCCCGTCAGCCCTCTTCCATATGGGTTTTCCCATCCACTGTAGCTCACAGGCAGCTCGTTCCCCCTTCTTCCCATTCTCGTTTGACTGTGGTCCGTACTACTTTGGAATTTCTTTTGTATTACTTTTCAGTTTTGCATATCTTTGTCTGTGTCTCATTTACCTAACCAAATCATGATTTTTTTGAAGGCAAGAGCTTCCACATATCCACATATATTATTTTTTTTTTACTGCAGTGAAATTTACAATGGAGCTGGACAGATTTTAAGTACAGGTAATCCCCAACTTACAGTGGTTCAATGTACAACTATTCAGCTTTATGGTGATCTCAAAGTGATAACACACTTAGTAGAAACCTACTTGAGGTTTTGAATTTTGATCTTTTCTTCAGCTAGTGCTAGTCACTCCTCTCTCATCTTGCTGGGCAGCAGCAGCAAGCCCCAGCTAAGTCAGCTCCATGACCACAGGATAAGCAGCTGCTGCTGCGTGAGGGGCCATGTCCTAAGCAGTGCTGTCCATAGCTTAGTTATGGTAAATGTATTCTTGACTTTTAATTTAGAATGAGTTGGTCAGAACATAACTCATGGGTCAAGGAGCCATCTGTATAACCTTTTGATAAAACACATACATACTTAAAATTGTATCTTCTTGATAAAGTGACTCTTCTGTCATTATGAAATGGCTCTCTTTATCTCTGGTAATAAATATTCCTTAACTTGAAGTCTACTTTGTTTGATACTAAAACATTCATAGTCGCACCAACTTTCTTCTGCACCTAAATTCGCATGGTATATCTTTTTTTCATCTCTTTTTATTTCATCCTGTGTCTTTATAATTCAAGGAAACCTTCTGTAGACTTTGTGAGGTTTTTAAAAAATCTAGTCTGATAATCTTTGTCTTCTAATTGGAGTATTTGGATCATTTACATTTAATAGAATTAGTGAGATCTTATCATCTTGCTTTTTTTATTTTTTTAAAATTCATTTATATGAAAGGCATAGTTATAGAGCAAGAAGGAGAGATGAGAGAGAGAGAGAGATCTTCCACCCAGTAGTTCACTCTCCAAATTAATGCAGCAGCCAAGGCTGAGCCAAGCAGAAGCCAAAAGCCTGGAACTCCATCCAGGTCTCCCGTGTGGCACATTGGCAGGGAGCTAGATGGGAAGTAGGGCAGCTGGAACATGAACAGGCACCATTTGGGCTGCTGGCATTTCAGGCAGTGGCTTAATGTGCTGTGCCACAAACCCAGGCCCTGCTATTTGTTTTTTAAGTTCTCCTATTCTTTATTCATTTTTCTTCCCTTCATGTGTTCTTTTGATTGATTTAAGTTTGTGTGTGTGTGTGTGTGTGTGCCATCCTATTCTTCTATTGGCCTTTTATCCATAGGTTTTTGTGTCATTTTTAGGTATTTATGCACAAAAATTATACTCTTGACTTATCATAAGCTACCATGAATTAATATTGTAATGATTTACTTATAATACTTATATTAAAACCCTGCAACAGTATAATTCTCTTTGTACTTTGCTTAACCTGTCTACTATTACATTCATGTCATACATCTACATTTTTTATGAATTCCATAATACATTGTTGTAACTTTGGCTTTTTTTTTTTAAGATTTATTTATTTGAAAGGCAGAGTTAGAGAGAGTGAGAGGGAGGGAGAGAGAGACAGAGAGAGATTTTCCATCTATTAGTTCAGTTCCCAAATCGCTACAACAACTGCCAGAAGCTTCTTCCTGGTCTCCCACTTGGGTGCAGGGAAGGGACCCAGACACTTGGGCCATCTTCTACAGCCTTCCCTGGCACATTGGCAGGGAGCTGGATTGGGAGTGAAGCAGCTTGGACTCAAACCAGCACCCATACGAGATGCCAGCACCACAGGCAGTGGCCTGACCTGCTATGCCACAGTGCTGTACCCTATTTTGGCTCTTAACAGTGAGCTGATTTTTAAAGAATCTGAGTAAAGAAAGAAAAATTGCATTACATCTTATTCTCTGATTTCCAAATAAATAAAATAAGCAAAGCATTTCCTCTCCAAAAGCATCAGTCTTTTTTTTTTAACTTTTATTTAATGAATATAGATTTCCAAAGTACAGCTTATGGACTACATTGGCATCCCCCTCCCCCCGATGACTTCCCTCCCACCCGCAACCCTCCCCTTTCCCGCTCTCTCTCCCCTTCCAT